TGCTCTTGGTTAAAGTCTTGTAAGTCAGTAGGTCTGTCAGGTCTGGTTGCCAGATATCAGACAACGTTAGGGACAAAGAAGGGAATAAGAAAGAAATTGACCCTAAAATTAGTTTAGAGATTGGTTGTTGAAGAAAAATTATAATTTTAGTTGAACCTCAAGTCGCACGATATAATTTTGTTCACAGTATGAGCCGCGGCCTTGTGTGTTTACGAACTTACTCGACTGTGTAGTCTACTGACTCGCGCAACAAAGTGTTGCCATGCTATTCCGCTTGACTATAACGTTGCTGCGCTTCTTGCTGTATGTAGTCTCTTGGGTAAGGGATTCCAGTGTCTCGGTGAAGGGTCTCGTTGGATACATACCATGGGGCGTTAGTGATTGTACGCAAGGTTCTGTTTTGCAAGACATCAAGCCACACTTGCGTAAGTGATCTCTGATCTAATATACATCTTGTACAGCCGAACTTTGTTGATTAAACTTAATTTTCATGTTCTAACATAGCATGAGGTAGAGTTGCCGACACGCGATTTGGAATTTAGTTTTTAACGCTTCAGTGTGCTTCTGCCCGGTCATCCCCTTGTCAAGAGTGTCACCGAGATACTTAGCAGAACCTCCCCATGGTACCGACGTGTTTACTCATGATGATGTGTATTGAGAAGTATTTTCAGGAAGTGAGCGAACACAATGGTCCTCTATCACCCAATTTATGTGACAGCCGAGTTACGGAGCGGCTTGTGCAGTGTGCAATTTTCCTTACACCTTAAAATTACTTTGACAAAATTATAACATAGGATCAACTCAAACTTGAGTGACGTTTTCTTTAGGTTTGCTGAAGTCAGAATAAGGACATTTTGGCCGCATTCTTTTAACACATATCCTCTGGTTGTCTTGCTGACTTATCTCTATGTGATACTCAAAGTTAAATAAAACCACAGATGAAGAAATCGTCAGGCTTTTCAACGTTCAACATGAACTTTAAAAACATATTTTGTGAATAACGCTATGGTGGTAGCAGAGAAACGTCAATAAGGTTATTTTTCCAGGATATGCGCTATCATTTTGGAAAGTACTGTACAGTTTGTTCTGTAGCAGTGCCGCAGTTATACAATATATACGACATGTCCCGTGAAAAGGGAGAGGGAGAGTAACGTAGTTGCAGTTATTAGAAATGCCATTCAAAAACATAGCTCATCAATAAAATAAATATCTATTATGGAAGGATGTTTTAAAGTCACGTAAAGAATCAAAAGCAAGGATCTGTAATCATGCCTACTCAAAAAATCATTAGAAGACGGAATTTTCTCTATTCAGAACCCATAAAATGTTAAACACACTACTAAGATTTTTTAAATTACATTTTCCGTAACCGAAAATAATTTTTTCTACCAGCGTGTGGAAAGTACTCACTTTCAACACACATCTGCGTGCAGAAAGTAGCACCTTTCCGCACGCATAACTTTTCTGCACGCAGATGAGTGTTGAAATTGAGTACTTTCCGCACGGTGTTAGAAAAAACTTATGCATCTTCCGCCTTGGACGGCATCCGCACTTGTTAGGTAAATAACTATATTCAGTATCTTTGGGCACAGTTAAGTCAATCAACAGATCATTTACGAAAATCATACACCGTGTTTTACTTACCAAGGTATTCTGGTATCCCAATCCATATTTTTCGTTTGGTTTTTCTTCCACAGTGTTAATCTTGTCCATTTTTTAATGCTTCTACTTCAAGATGATACGTAGCATGGAAAACGCTCTAGCATAGTCACTTAATGATCTGCAACAACATATTGGAATATAAATAACTAAACAGCTAGTAAACATAGTGTACTTCGAATCTTTCTAGTTTCATCTTTCTGTCGAAACCGCAGCAAATTTGAGATAACGCAAGAATATTGTACTTATCGTAATTTTTGATAGCACATCATTGACAGTTAATGTTATTTTGAGTTCAGGAATCAAATCAGATAAATGATTCCATGTTAAAGATCTGCACAAAACGTATATCGAATCGTCAAGCTATTCGCAACCGTTCGAAATATGACTTATTCTGACTATACTACACTAATCTATTTAATATTTTACACGAAAATTATAAGCGTCACTAATATATTGCTTTATTCTGACCAATAGAGGACCAACTTGTGTACAGCGTTTCAAGCTTATTGGCAATCATCTAGGTCTAGGCCTCTAGGTAGGACAAGGAACGAGATCAGAGCAAAAGTGTCATCTGTCAGATCTATAAAATCTATTGAAATTGAAATTCAACCGCACAAGCGCAACCTGTTACCAGAATCGACCATTGCGAAAGTGACATACACATACATAGTAACTCAGACCGTGCTGATGATTATCAATGATTATGAAGCTGCACGCGGCAGATCCCTTGTTGGTTGTAGGGCGACAGCAGAATTATCAGTCTTTAATGGCGAGTAGATCTGTATCAACTATATCGCCAGAATCGGCAGCATCAAGCGGTGTCGACGCAAACTAACATACTCTTACAGCTGCTCACCTTCGCAATGTTCGATTCTGGTAAGGTATCACTTGTGCTGTCATATTTCAATACAAAGAGTGAAATATGAAACATGTCTGATTTCAACATTTTGAACTCGATTAATACTACTTTCCTCATAAACTTACCATGGAATTTGAAAAACGTTTGGGATCTTGTATTAAGGCCCCTTCCAAAAATATTTTAAATATACCAAAAAATTTTCAGGAACTTGAACAACACCGAACAACGAAAGTAAAGACTTTATGCCATTGCAATATTCATCAAATGTCAAAATCTCATAAAAATACGATTAGTAAGGCACGAGCGCACGAGTTATAGAAGTGTCAAATATTCTTGGAGGGACGAAGATGTTATGGCTTTTCGTTTATGCACACAAATGGTGGTAAAAATGAATAGTGAAATATTGATGATAATTCTGAGGCTTTTGTAGTTATGAGTGGTGCTTATTTACAGTTATTGAGACATAAGTCTAGAAGAAGAAGAAGAAGGTGGTTGATGGTATCACTTAACCGAAGTACAGAAAGGTAGGTAACGACGGTTTTCAAGATTCATTTAGAATTAAGCATTTCGTGCCAGGGCATGTAATTGCAATTTAATTTATATTGCCATTGTAGAGATAAGTTTGGCAAAAATAAAAAAATCGTTTATGAAAGGCAATGGATACTATTGCATAATTTGAATGTAGTTTTCAATTCCCTCTTTTTAATTTATTTGTAAACCTGTATACCCAGCAATAATTTTGATATTAAACATTTTTCTTTAAATTTCTTATAATAAGAAGTTTGTCACACTATTTTCCACCCTGAAAATATCCAGTAAAATCATTTTATTGGTATTTAACAATTAATAATCGGAATTTAAATTATTGTATTTATTATTATTATACTGAACTAGAATTACTTGAGAATGTTTTTTAGATATAGTGGAAGGCACCTGCTATCAAATTTATTAAAAGAACCATCTGGTAGATTTTGAAGAACTTCTTCAGAAAATATGTTTTCTAAAAAAAGATACAAAATGGAGAAAAGCTATTCCGGGAAAAGAACGATTAGCCTTAACTTTGAGGTTTCTAATGTCGAGCCTACATTATTTGTTTAAAATATCAGCTCAACTTATTACCTCCATAGTTCCATAAGTATGCAGTGCTTTAATAAAAGTCCTCAGTAATTTAATGCAGGTAACCTTGATATCTTTATCTCGTTATTTTACAAAACATAGATATCAAAGTAATGTTTCAACAAAAGTAAAAAAAAATTAAAACATAAAAAACATATTTATATATAGATATTAAATATTTATAATTTTACACAGCACTGTCTCAAACTTTCATGTGGTGATTCATCAGATTGAAAACACTGTTCAGTCTCTTGAAATGTCGCAGAACTTTGATAAGGTGACGGTGGTAGCGAAAGTCCGGTAGCAAAGTTAGTTCAAGAATGACGACAGTCATATGATATTTCAGAGGGCGATGATAATGAGCTAAATTGCGGGTACACAGAAGTTAAAACAGACATTTTGATTAGTAGGAGTGGTCGGCTGATAATTTAGTGACATATTCGAGTTCATTTTCATTTGGAAAAGAAGATTATCAATTCGATTCAGTGCTATGTCCCTAGATCTCACATCAAGCTGTTTTAACCTTTCAGCAACCAAGTCCCCATATTTAACACAAAAATCTGCAATTTTTTGAGCATTGCTTTGCATAATAGTAAATGCGTCTATCTTCATTTACGTTATTTCAATTATGTTATTGGGGAGGATATTTTCAGTATGATTACTTCCGTTTGTGCTTTCATCGTTCGTAGTTGTTTCAACCTGCGACAGCTGTGATGCGAGGTTCTGAAATTTGAAAATGAAGTGATAAATAACAAATCCGATTATTATCGATATTTTTCATTATTTTCATTATTAATATATATTTTTAATTTTTTGTTATTAGAAAGAGTAAAACCGATCACTGTAGCTTAAATCTGAAGCAGTAAAATTAATTTGAATCACTAATAATATTAATAAAGTATAGTGCTACTCAATAAAGGCACTGATTGATATAATTATAATAATGACATTTTTTCACTTATGTTTTTAGATCCCGTCAAACGAAAGCGAATGAAAGAAAATAGCCCAACAGTTTGAAAATATATGGAATTTCCCTCACTGTATAGGTTCAATGGGTGGGAAACATATTACAATACAGGCTCCAATAAATAGTGGATTTGAATTTCATAATAATTATAAACAATATTTTAGTGTAGTGTTAATGACTCTTGTTGATGCTGATTATTGTTTTATATTTGCTGATTTCTGTTGTCAAGGAAGAATATAATATATATATATAATACTGTGCTGTTTTCCGAAACACAAAACTTTTAAAAAAAATGACGGGCTGCATTGCCTCTCAGACGAGCCACTACCAGTATGAAATATTCAAATTCCATATTTATTTGTGGGCGATGATACATTTGAATTATGTAAACGAATCATGAAACCTTATTCAGGCCTACATGAAAAAGGAAGCAAAGAAAGAACCATCGTCTATCAGGAGCACGTCGCATCGTGGAAAACTCCCGGGACTTTTGACTCTAAAGAAGACGGAAATATTACATCTGGTGCATGGCGTCAAAATCAAGATAATATGTCAAGTTTACTCCCTCTTCGTAATATCCTAAGAAAGCCCAGAACGGAAGCAAAAACTATTAGAGATGAGCTGGCAGAATATTTTATGAGCAACGGAAGAGTAACTTGGCAAGATTTATACTGCTAATACCTTATTTTTTTTATAAGTACACAAGTTTCCAATAAAAATATTTAAAGTAAAGTACTGAATTTATTGTATTTCTTGCCTGATTCTTATTTTGAAGGCTTATAAATGTCGTCTGTACCTGCTCCACTTTTTATAGATTCTTCACCCTTATTATTACAGGCCCTAAACGATGCCATTAGGGAATCCTTTTTCTTTTTTAGTTCTGTGACAGAATATTTTCCACCCATATTTTTCTCTATTCTTATCCAAGCATCGAATATAAGATTTCTGTTTTTGTGATCACTATGCCATGCATTCCATATTAATGATTCTTGTTCATAGAAATAAAACAACTGTAATACAGTTTCATTGCTCCATTCCACTTTAAACAAAAATATAAACAGAAATTTATCCAGAAATAGCGAATAGCCTCCCGAATGTGTGCATCGACACAAAACGCAATTATTCATCTGCTTTGAAAAGGCACAAAATACCGACAAGAACTGGGAAACGACAAAGCGCGATTATTCGTCACGAGCAACCCTAATTCTGGGTTTACATGCAGCCACTGCCGCTGCCACTCGCGCTGCCCACTGACCTGCCGTAAATAATTCCACTGCATCATTTGGAGCAAGTGACTGTTTACATGCAGCCACCCTACTAAACTACCATAAACTGCTTTCTATAGCATCAAATGGACTAACACACTTCATCTGCACCGGCTCCAGACCTAATCGAAGAGTTTTTCTTTTTTAATACCGGCCGAAATGTTGCCATTAGCGATTTTTTTTCTTTGCTTATCCGTGTCCACACAGTATGGGGTGCATGCACGACATACCTTAACGATTTAGATGTGCTTCAAAGAACAATTTTAAAATCAGTGTTTGGCAAATCAAAATTATACCCAACTAATGACTTATATAATGATGCAAAGTATATGATACTAAACAACTTTACTTGTTACATACCATCACTCATGATCACAAAATTATTAGTGAACGCGACATAATTAAACATAGTCATAACACCAGATAAATTACGCGCAAAAAATTTTCCTAAACAAAAGAAATCTTTAATGAAACGATGTCACCTGTATTTAGCTCCAAAATTGTACGAACATTTACCAAATAATTTAAAACAACTACGCAAAAAAAAAAATTATTAACACAATTGGGAGAAATCACATTAATAGAATAATCTCAAATATTACACAATAAATGCTATGATTCTTACCAATAATTTTTTTCTCTCTATTCTTTTTTTATCTTTTGCAATTCAACATACATATCATCCATGCACAAGCATAGTCCTCCTATGGATATATTATATTTATTTACTCGTTTCATGTTCCCTGTATTTTAGAGTAAATAAACATTATTATTATTATAATTATTATTATACTAAGTGACATATAAATCCGAACACCCAGTTTAAATGGTTTTATTTTAATAAAATTTTGTATAAGTACTTAATGAAGCATAATAAGTAAAAGATAAAAATTTCAAAATGATTGCACTGCTTTAAAGCCCTTTGACCTTTAATAATGTGTGGATGCACCCTGATGTGCTACGCATTCTCCAACGTGCCTAGGCATGCTTCTGATCAGGTGGTCAATGTCCTACTGTGGTATCTCATTCCAGGCAACCACCAACTCCTCTCGAAGTGCTTCTAGAGTCTGAGGAGGACGTTGCAAATTGAGCAATCTCCTACCCATCATATCCCACACGTGCTCAATTAGGGATAAGTTGGGAGATCTTGGTGGCCATGGTAACAATATGACATCATTATGTTGAAAGAAGTTATTGTGACTCTTGCAACATGTGGTCGGGTATTATCTTGTTGGAAAGTTGGATCTGCCAGGGTGTCAAGATAGGGTAAAAGATGGGGTTCTAGAACTTCGTGGATATAACGCTGCGCGTTCATGTTACCTCTGCTGAAGATTAAAGGTGACCTGGAACCATAAGCTATAGCACCCCAAACCATAACTCCAACAGTGTGATGAACATGTCTTTCAACAAAAAACTGTGGATTCCTCCTTTCACCACGTCGCCTTCTAACCCTGGCACGACAATCGTGCATGACTAAACAAAATCGAGACTCGTCACTAAAGACAATACTGTTCCATTCCTGATCCCAGAGTGACCGTTGTCTGCACCACTCAAGGCGATTACGTCGGTGTACTCGAGTTAAAGGGAGGACCCAGTGTGGCCGGTATGAAAACAAGCCAAAACCTCTCATTCGTCGGTAAACACTTCGCATGCCAATAGGTCTTCCGTGTTCTGCAAACCATTCATTTGCAATGGACCTGGTAGTGGAGAAACGGTCCCTTAAGGCCAATAATCTTAGGCGGCGATCTTCACGGTCTGTTGTTCTACGGCGGCGTCCAGTGCCCCTTGCTCTTTGCGTACGGCCTTCTCGAAGCCATGCCTGACAACACCTAACCACAGTGTCTACACTTCTTTGCACTCTAACTGCAATTGCCCGAAAAGAGAGTCCAGCTTCCCGAAGTCCCACTGTACGGCCCCTATCAAACTCACTAAGTTGACGAAATCGTACAGGTCTCCGTATTCTAGGCATCGTAACCGATCGTAAAGGATGTCAAGAACCAAAATCCGCCAACGTTGATTCTTTACTGCGGCTGAAATATTCATTTTTAGAGCGTTAGTGAATTAAAAAAAAAGCAGTATAAAAACCGGAATGTCCAACTGATAAGGCTGAAAATTTTTTCACTTGTTATTTACAGTAAGATAAATACATTCACCAACTTTTATTAAAATAAAACCATTTAAGCTGGGTGTTCGGATTTATATGTCACTCAGTATATCATTGACAGTGGACCATAGGAGTCTAGAGTCATGTGAATTATTATTGATAGTAATTTTTCTTGCTCTAAAAACTAAAATTCTTGATCATTGCTCTACTCAAACATGGTCCAAGTGTATTTTCAAACGAATAATTTCCTAAACATGAAATAAATTAAACTGTATCCATCGAAGAAACAAAGTAAAATCAAACATATACACCCGTATTGCACGTGATCAAGAACTTAACCGTAGGAGATGCTACAGGGCCGTATCAAGCTATTGTGACTGATCTATCAAAACATGTCGTACAAGATATGTATTGCTGTAAATTCTATCAAAATAGTAAATTATCAGGAATATACCACGCCTTTCTAATCATATTTCGACATTAGGAATCAGTGCAAAAAATTCTGTATTCACCATTTCAGCAAAATGTTACTAAAACGCACACGAAAAAACTTGTGGACCATCTCAATTGAAATTGTTCATATTTTATTATTAACTTACATATATACCCAATAATATTTACAAATCAACCTTCTATTCACAATGCAGAGCAAATTTTTTTGAGCAAATAGAAACTACAGACATAGTAGTAGTAGTACAAAAGTTTATTACAGACTCCATAAAGTTTGTTAGTTTGATTGCTATTAAAATTTACATGAGAAATAGGAAGAAGGTCAAAATGGCACAATTATGCTTTGGAACTCCTAAATTAGCCCTAATTTTGTGTAATTATAAATTTGGAATTTCCACATTAATAACTAGAAACTTACACTTTATCTATAATGAACTTACCTGTCTTGCCAAAAAGCCCGTTAAACTGCCAGTCTTAATGGTATCAATCGATTTATATGCTGTATTCCGAGGAGCTTGAATCATCAGAATTGTTGATGTCAATTATAAAGGGTTCAACTTGGGTGTCAATGATATTGTCCATATCCCACATTTTGGTTTCAACCTTCTCTTGGACATGGTCAATACATGTTCTCCATTTTGCTGGCGTAATTCTATCGACAGCAACATCAAACAGTGTTTTAAGGTCAGAAAACTTAAAAGTGCTGTTATTTGACGACACGTATTGCTTGATGTCGGCCCAAATCAACTCGATAGGATTCAGTTCGCAGTGATAGGGAGGCAGCCTGAGAATCATTTTATTTTGGTTTTTGGCCATTTCGTCAACAATTTTTAAATCATATTTATACTTATGTCGCTTGACTATATTTATCAGCTCAGCTTTGACCATTGTTTGGTCGAAGTCGATCTTCTTTGAGACAAGCCACTGTTGAATGTCTGCCTTTTTGGTGGCCATTGTTGGAATTTTTTCCAATTTTCTGGAGTGGTACGGGGCATTATCCATCACAATAATTGCGTTATCATCAAGTGTCGGCAAAATTTTTTTGAACCAATTTTCAAATGAGTTACCATCCATTTCTTCGTGATAGTCTCCAGTTTTTTTGGATTCAAATGCCCACAATGCTTCAGGAACAAATCCATCTACGCTACCTATGTGGCAAATGATCAGGCGTTTTCCCTTGCCTGAAAGTAATTAGTTATTTTACTTCTCAGCGAGCGCACTAAATGACGAAATTAAGCAACTTACTCTTTTTAGGTTAGTGTAGGATAGGGTCTTAGATTAGTTTTTGGGTGAAGGAAATACTCAGAAACTTGGATGAGATAGCAAAACTGAGTTCGGAGCTTCCAAATCATTGATTCGATCAGAAAATGAATTATCTGCATCCAAAAAAGTTCATATACTTCGAAACTTACCTGCAGGATTTTTCAATCCCGTCGAAAGGCCATCTAAAAAAGCCTGCCTTGAGGACCTCACAGATCTGTCTACCCAAACCTTTCCCTGCGTATGCCCCGCGTTCACCCATGTTGCGTCTAAATAATAAATTTTTCTTCCTTCAGCGCGGAATTGACTAATTTTTCTAAGGTATTCTCTCCTCCAGATAACAATTTCCTCCTTTTCTATCAATAAACTATTCCTTCCTCTTTTCAAAAATCGAAAGTCTAGTTCTTTCAACAGCTTATGGAACGTAGATCTTTTAAAATTTGGCAGGTCCTCATCATCATTCACTTGCTTCAATATTTTATATATTGTAGGTATTTCATTCCTGAAGAAAAAGTGATGTACTTTTCTTCTAATGGCACTTTTGTCAAAGACATCTATTTTTTCGATGATTTTTTTTCTCGCTGGATATGTTTTTGGCT